CCGCTGCACCCTGCCGCATCCTGCTGCATCCTGCCGCGTCCCGCCGTGTCCGACCACATCCCACCGCATCCCACCGCATCCCACCGCATCCCGCCGCATCCCGCCGCATCCCTACCTCGCGCTGCAGCACCAGCTCCTTGGTGAAGTGCGTGGCCTCCTCGCTGAAGGGCTCTCCCTCCTGCACCAGCCCCGGCAGGTTCCTGGCGCCGCGCGGACACTCGATACCTGCGAGGAGGAGGAGGAGGAGCAGGGTGAGGGGCTGGGAGGGCGCGCGCAGCTCCATGCGCTCCGGGCGGGGACCTGCGTGCATGGGATGGGTGCGGGACCTGCATGCGCACAGGATCCACGTGCATGGATAGGACGCGGCGCATGTGTTGGCTTGCAGGACCCACATTCACGTCCCAGCTTGCAGGATGCACACGCACGGGTCAGCTCGTAGGACCCGCTGCAAGGGCTGGCCTGCAGCACCAGCGCTCGAAGAACGGTTTTCAGGACCCATGCATATGGACCAAGTTGCAGGATCCAGTGCATTGCACAGCCTGCAGGACCAGCGCTCACGTGCCAGTTTGCAGGAGCGGGTGCATGGACCGACTTGCAGGAGCGAATGCACAGGCCAACTTGCAGCAGCCGCGTGCATGGGCCAGCCTGCAGGACCTGTGCTCACAGGCCGACTTGCAGCATCTGCCTTGCAAGCCATGGGCTTCCCTGCAGTCTGCAGCTTTCGCCTGGCTTCCTGCAGCTCTTCCCGAGCTTCCCAGCAGGATACAAAGCCATGGGGAAGTGCAGGAAGGGCCCAGGGTGCCTGGAAATGCATCACTGTCCTGGACCAGCCTGGAGCAGCTCTGCTCCAGGACAGGGTGGCTGCCCAGACCAAGGGCTCTCAGTGCCCAATTCCCCGGGGTCTGCCCCCAAATCACGAGCTGCGGGGAGGGCAAGCTCACCAGCGAGCAGGAGGCTCTTTGCTCCCACGAGCTGCTTGAGCCTCAGCCCTCCGCCTCCCCGTTTGCAAGAGGCACGGGCGGTTAAGCTGGGAAACGCTGTGTTATTAGTTTTATTTTACATAATTTGTTATTAATGGAGTGCCAGGAATTGCGGGTGGCGACAGCCCCGTTGGGCAGTCCGCAGTGGGAAGGAGCAGAGCTGCCTCCCGCGCGTGATCCCACTCCGCTCCGGAGAGCCGGGATGCAGGCAGGAGCCGGGACGCGGCCCCATCCACATGCATCCACAACCACGGATCCACCTGGGATTTCTTTGGCATTAAGCACTCCTGAAGGCACTCGGGGAAACTCAGGATAAAGCCGTGATTTCCAGCAGGATTCTCCTGCCGGGGAGATTCCGCAGGTCTCGGCATCCCCATCCCCTTCCCAAAGCCTCCAGTCCGGCACGGTAATTGCTATGGAAACGGTGCATCGGTGCCGAGCCGTGTTCGGGCAGCGGGGACAGCATGGGAAAGCATGCAAAATTTTAGCCATATTGCTACCAGATAACATCAGCACCAAATTGCTTTGTCCCTGGGTGGCGGATAAAATATATATGTATAAATAAATAAATATATTCTTGGTGGCTGGAGCATGAGCAACCGTGGCACTTTGAAGCATTACCGGCAAGATGACAAAGTCCAAGCCGTGCACGCTGGGCCAGGCCAAGTGCTTCCTCACCCACTGCTCTGCCACGGAAACGCCAAAAAATGAGGGTGAAAGAGGAGGGTTCTGCAAATGCAGCCACATTTGGGCTGGGCGAGCTGCAATCTCACTAACGAGCTGCAAAGCAGCTAATGAAGGAGCTGGAAAGGAGCAGGGGGGAGGGCAGAGGTGCAGACCCTCTGGGATCAGTGCAGTGAGGGGCACGAGACCAATTAGAGTGCTGGGGATTGTGCATCCTGCACCATGCACCAATGCATTGTGCATTAATGCACCACGCACAAGGAATCGATGCACCATGCACTAATGCCCCATGCACTAATGCATCGTGCACCAGGAATCACTGCACCATGCACTAATGCACCATGCACTTGGAATTGGTGCCTCATGCACTAATGCACCCCACACTGCACTCTAGGAATTGCTGCACCATGCATTAATGCATCATGCATTGGTGCACCACGCATTAATGCACCATGAACTGGTGCATCATGCACTAATACACCCCACACTGCACTCTAGGAACCGCTGCACCATGCATCGATGCACCATGCATTAATGCATCATGCATCGGTGTACCATGCATTAATGCACCATGAACTGATGCATCATGCACTAATACGCCCCACACTGCGCTCTAGGAACCGCCGCACCGTGCACCATGCATTGATGCACCATGCATTAATGCACCGCGCGCCAGGAACGGCTGCACCGTGCCCCACGCCAAGGAGCGGAGCGCTGCAGCCCTGGGGTTAGCAGCATGCAGGGGCTCTCGGGCTGCATGCTCAGAGCTGCTGCAAATGCTGCTTTTCTCTCCCTCCTCCCCACGGGCAGGGGCTGCGGCAGCCCCAGCT